TTCCATCTTCCACTATTTTTTGGAATAGTTTGAGAAGGATAGGTATTAAATCTTCTTTGAATGTTTGGTAAAATTCACCAGAGAAGCCATCTGGTCCTGGACTTTTATTTTTTGGGAGGTTTTTGATTACTGCTTCAATCTCTTTACTTGTGATTGGTCTATTCAGATTCTCTATTTCTTCTCGATTCAGTTTGGGAGGCTGCATGAGTCTGAGAATTTATCCATTTCTTCTAGACTGTCCAATTTGTTGGCATATAGTTTTTCATAGTATTCTCTTACAATCTCTTGTATTTCTGTGGTATCCGTTGTGATTTTTCTTCTTTCATTTCTAATTTTATTGATTTGAGCCTTCTCTCTTTCTTTCTTAGTGAGTCTGGCTAAGGGTTTGTCAATTTTGTTTATCTTCTCAAAGAACCAGCTTTTGTTTCATTGATCCTTTCTACTGTTTTTTCGGTTTCAACTTCATTTATTTCTGCTCTAATTTTTATTATTTCCCTCCTTCTGCTAACTTTGGGCTTTGTTTGTCCTTCTTTTTCTAATTCTTTAGGTGTAGTTTAAGGTTGCTTATTTGGGATTTTTCTTGTTTGTTAAGGTGGGCCTGTATTGCTATGAGTTTCTCTCTCAGGACCACTTTTGCTGCATCCCATATGAGTTGGTATGGTGTATTTTAATTTTCCATTGTCTCCACATATTTTTTGATTTCTCCTTTAATTTCTTCAATGATCCTTTTGTTGTTCAGTAGCGTGTTGTTTACTCTCCAAATCTTTGTCAATTTCCCAGTTTTTTTCTTGTAGTTGATTTCTAGTTTCATAGCATTATGGTTGGAAAAGATGCTTGTTATCATTTCAATCTTCTTAAATTCACAGAGGCTTGCCTTGTTTCCCAACATACAGTCTATCCTTGAGAATATTCCATGTGCGCCTGAGAAGAACATGTAATCAGCTGTGTTTGGATGGAGTGCTCTCTGTATATCTATTAAGTCCATCTCATCTAGTTTTTCGTTTAAGTCTACTACTTCCTTCTTGACTTTCTGTCTGGATGATCTATCAGATCATCAATATCAGTTGGATATTTCTCAGAGAATTTCTTTATTTCTTTTTAGTCTTAGTTCTCTCTCCTCCTCCACCTGGAGCATTTCTGCATTCCTATTCTCAATATTGCTAATTCTTTCTTCCATATTGTCAGCTCTGTTCTTTAAGGATTCCAGATTTTTCTTTATCTCCTCCATTGTGTTTTTCATCTCCAACATTTCTAATTAGTTTTTCTCTATAGTTTTAATCTCTTTTGTGAAGAAGTTCCTGATTTCATTGAATTGTCTATCTGTATTTTCTTGTAGTTCATTGAGCTTTTTTATGATAGCTATTTTGAATTCTCTGTCATTTAGGTTATAATTTTCTGTGCCTTCAGGATTGATTTCTGGATGCTTGTCATTTTCCTTCTGGTCTCGAGATTTAATATATTTTTGCATACTGCTTGAGGGATGGGCTTATTTTTCCTCATTCTGAAAATATCTGGTTGCAGCTTCCACCTGCTGCCACCAGGTGGGGGTCAAGAGCTGTGTATTCTAAGCCCACCACGATCTGTGGGTGCTCTGGCCCACTGGCTGTGCTGGTGCTCCAGGTGGGGGGAGGGGCTCTTTCTTTCACCTGCCTGATCCCGGGGTTCTTCCTTCACTATCTGCTGTCCTGCGGTGCAGGCTTGATGAAGACACCCCCACAACAGTTCAGTCTCCTCTGTATGGGAATTTCCCACAGGCTGTGAGAGAACTTGGAGAGCAACAATTTTCCTGCAGAGAGCTGCCCCTTCTTCCTCTCAGAGAGCCACATGGTCCCGGTCCCAGGGTCCCTGTCACTGGGGAAGGAGAGGCGTTCTCCTTGCCTCCTTCCACTTCCTCCAGGGGTACCTGGGCTGGCACCTTTTTAAAGCTCTCCAGATGATTCAAATGTATAGCCAAGGTTGAGAACCACTGCCCAAGAGAATCATGCCAGAATTTTGGATGAGGAGGAAAGCATGCTATAGTTTGCAAGAATTCCCACAGGGCATTCGTAGATGACAGCTGATCTAAAACCACCTCCCTAGATGTTTTGAGGCTGTGGAGGACCAGATTTCACTTGTTATAAGAGCAAAAGAATAGCAGCTAACATTTATTTTTTATTTTTATTTATTTATTTATTTTTGTGAGGAAGACTAGCCCTGAGCTAACATCCAATGCCAATCCTCCTCTTTTTTGCTGAGGAAGATTGGCCCTGGGCTAACGTCCGTGCCCATCTTCCTCCACTTTATATGGGATGCTGCCACAGCATGGCCTGACAAGTGGTGCATCAGTGCGCGCCCAGGATCCAAACTTGCGAACCCCGGGCCGCCGAAGCGGAGCACGTGCACTTAACCGCTGTGCCATCAGGCTGGCCCTTGCTAACATTTATTTTTAGTCAGAGCATTTTACATGCTAGACCCTGGGCCAAGAAAATTACAAGTATTATTTTATGCAATCTTCACGAAAACCATACAAAGTAGGTTATTATTATACCCTCTTTACAGATGAGGAATTTAAGATTAGGAGAAACAAAGAAACATGCCCAGGTCACACAGACAGGAAAAGGCTCAGGTCTCAAACTGTGTGATTCTAAAGCCAGTGCTCTTGATCCCTATAGGACCAAAGTGGATGGCTCTGGGGAAACATTCCTGGCCCCTGTGAACCCTCTTTGTAGGGGGGGCGGGCAGGAGTCCTACAGTCTGGGTTTCAACAACACCTTCTGTCAGGTCCAGGGGTTCCTGACCCTCCAGGGGGTGGGATCCACAGTCTGTGCTGTTTCCTTTTCCTCCCCTCCACCTCCCGGATTTCTTAGCTCCTCCACACCCTTAGCCCTCAGCACTCTAGCTCCGCAGCACCCTCAGCTGCTGCAGTAAATATGGGGAGAAGCATTCCTGATGCCTCCTCACTCTCTTGACAAATACCGCAGAATGCATTTTCAGACAGAATCTACGTCATGACTGAATGTTGAAGTCCCCAAGATGGTTTGCCAAGGTGTTTACATTTTAATGAAGTTAAAATTCTGTGAGCTTTTATTGAGCACTTTACTGGGTGCTGGGCACTCCCTCAGCCATTTATTTGTATTAACTTATTTAATCTTCACAATAACACTGTAAGTCAGGTCTATTATCTCCATGTTACTGACTAAATTGAGAGAAAGAGGCTCAGTAACTTGCCCAATGTTCAGCAGCCAGTAAGTGGGAGAACTGGGATCTAACTAGGTGGTCTGGTTCCAGTTTGTAATCATTACCTCTACATTATTGCACCTCTTACCACTTTCGATTTTATCTGTGTAATATTTCAGGTACATTAGCACCTTAAGAACTTTTGTGCAGTGTCCCGAAAACCTGACTCCCCAGTTATAACTTTGATACCATGAAGAAATGAATTTCAAGTTCATGTGACATTTTTGCTAATTAACTTAGCACCTTTTATAAATCATTTATCTTAAATATACCATGATCTATATGCTTATAAAATTTAAAATGGGAGACCAAATTCTCAGTGGTAGAAAAAAGTGAAGATATGGGGATGATGTGGTCTTAGATTTCATTCATATCTTTGATTTGCCATCATGTGACACTGGAAAAAATTAAATTGCCGAGGTCTTGATTCCTTTTTTATAAAACAAAAAAGATGATATTAAGTAAAAAATAAGAAATGTATGGTCCTTGTGCCCTTATCCCCTGAACTCTTTTCTGTTGGGCTCGTGCTTGATCTCAGAACACTTATTTTTCACAAAGCACTCTAGGCAGCCGCTAGCCCTTGTTCAGAAATGGAAAGTGCGATGAAACCTATTTGCCATCTTAGACCATATGATCTCTAAATTCCCCTCTTGGTTCTACAAAATTGATCCCTACAATACAACAAAAATATTAACATGTACAATATGTTGGACAATACAGTTCAGCGCCTGATTTGGTCTATATTGTTATAAATCTGCAATAGGTAGGTGGGGAAATAAAAAACATCTGAGTATCTATAAGATTCTATAATTGGTTCCAGGGAAAGTTGACGGGATTAGCTCAATAGGAAGTTGAGTACATGGGGAGAATATTACACATTTACACGTGCACACACATGTATGACTGTTCAGCATTTTATTAACACAGCCAATTATACATTTTTAAGTCAGGATTGAAATACTGGTTTGGTCTGATGCCCCAAGAATGTTCCATAGAACTGTCCGCAACTTATAGAGTGGCTTTTAAAATAACTCTTCCTTTTGGCATCTTTCAGCTCTTTAAGATTAAACTGTTTCTATATGAGGCTAATCAGGGGTATTTGGGACAAAGTCTAATAATCAGGACATGAATGCTTTTGCATATGTTCGCACGCCCTGGAGAGTTGCTCTTGGATTTGGTAGTAAGGGCTACCAAAACTAGGACCCGGGGCATGACTAGCTGCTCCAAGAAGTAATGTAGATTTAAGACATAAGTCACATTATGAGAGGCTTAAAACACAACATGCCAAAACTAGGATTCAACCTCGGGCTTCAGTTAGAGATCTATAAATGGACAAGAGAAAGATTTCCTTGGCGACAAGCGTAGGAGGGAATGGTGCAGATAGTAGCTAGTCTGACACTAAAAGACTAGATAGACAAAATATACCTTAAGGAAATTTTGCAAAGCTTCCTCTACAGTTGAGGATGGTATTTTTCCAAACAGAGTAGCAGCCATTTTTTTCTCAATCCAGCTCAGTTTTGAGACCTGCAAATACATAGCAACATCACTCTTAGAAAGCTATTCACCTTCTGAATGAATAATCTCCCCAGTTAGATACATGTGTGTATGTATATATGTATGTATATGTGTATAATATAATATATATAAATATAAATACATATCCATAAATAATACATACGAAAGATGTCACCTTTATGGTATTAATATTTTGCCTTCCTTTTTCATAATTCTAACAAACTATGAGCTCTAAAAGCACTGGTTAAAAAACCAATTTGAAATACTCATGATAAGGAGATCTGTGTTCAATCAGAGAAAAGTAGGTAGAGTGGGGGGAATAATGCAGATCTTGTTTGTTCGTCTGATTCATGATTCTGAGATGACCGCAAGGTCATATTTTTTGCACTGAGTGTAGTGGCTACAGGACCCTGCTTTTGCTCTCTTCCTGCCGACTCCATGCTGCCAACCCGACCTAGAGCGCAGCATCTCAGAGATGTAAACAGAATGAGGATCCTCAACCCAGAGGGAGTGTAGAGTGAGGGCCCAGTATACATATTTACAATCTAGGAGTTTTTTTTTAACCAATAACCAACAAAGTTAAATTTCATATTACCATTTATTTTTTGCTTTCTTTTTAATATTTTTTATTTTACCCAAAGATGAATATTAGGTGTTTATCATAAAAGATTAAATGGATTCAGAAATGAATACTTAAAAGGGCATGATGCAGTTGATGCTCTCCCCAGCCCCATCAAGTGTCTTCCTCCCAATCCAATCCCATCTTCAAGGTTTCCAGGCAGCCATTAACCTCTATTTAAAAAAAAATTATTCCCTTGCTTTTCTACATAATGTTACTTATTGCTATGATTATTTTTGCTTTTTTTGAACTTTAAAAAAAATATGTTGTTTATTTCCTTCTACAAGTTATTTTTTCACTTAACATTATAGTTTTAAGATTTCCTCCTGGTTGGTAAGTGTAACTGAAGCTCAGTCTTTTAAATAACTGTGAAATATTCCATCATTAAAACATACATCAACAATTTTTCATCCATTCTTTTGTCAATTGACATTTGGGTCCTTTCCATTTTTTTGCTCTTAGGAACATGGCTGCCACAGGCATTCTTGTACATGCCTGCTGAAGCACATACACAAGAGTTTCTCTAGGGTAGGCAGCAGTGTGGGTCATATGGTAGGCAAATAATTAAATTTAAAAGATAATATGCAATTGTTTCCAAGGTGGTTGTGCCAATTTATGCTCCCACAACAATGTAAGAATTTCTGTGGCTCCATATCCTTGTAATATGTCATATTGATATTTTTAAATTTTATCAAATGAGTAGGAATAAAATGGTATCTCCTTGTGGTTGTAATTATCATTTCCTATTATTTCTAATTTCAAGATTTACATTTTTAAGTTGTTTTTTTAACTTCTATTTTAATTGCATTATGATCAGAAAACCTGTATGATATCAATTCTTTGAAATTTATTAAGACTTGCTTCATGATCTCATATATAGACAGTTTTGTAAACATTCTATATATGCCTGAAAAATGTGTATCCTCCAACGGCTAGGTACATATTTTCATATATGTTTATTAGATCAAGGTTATTAAATGTGAGGCTCCAATGTTTTACATACTTACTAATTCTTTTTTTGTTTGTTTGTTTTTCTTATTCTATTAATTAACCAGAAGAGGTGGGTGAAAATTTACCACCATGTGGTATCCTTACTTACCTTCCATGTCTTTTCATCTCTCCTTCATATTTTCTATCTCTGTTCCTCTGTGCTGCATTGCAGGCAACTTTTTCAGATTTATCTTAAAGTTTGCTAATTCTTTCTTTAGCAGTGCTAAATTTTTCCATTGAGTTTTCTTTTAACATCAAATAATATACTTTTTGTACCAAAAATTGTTTCATCTTTTTCAAATCTACCTGGTCATTTTTGTAGTCTCATGTTCCCCATCCATTTTTCCCCCTAATTCTTCTAATTTTTAAAAACACATTATATGGATAACTGTTTAATCTTTTGCATTCCATGCTTCCAAAATCTGAAGTCCTTTTAGATCTATTTCTATTCTTTTTTCGTTTCTGTTGACTATCATTCCTGATGGCTTATATCTTTGTATATTCTATTATTTTTTACCGTAAGCCCATTATTGTTGGGTCACTCTGTAAGAGTTTTTAAGGCCTGTGTGAAGTTACGTTCCTCTAGGGAGGGTTAGCATTAGCTTCTGCCATTTATCTGTGGCATGAACATGCAGTTCCATTTTGAATTAAAATTTCCTTCTTGGGTTTTTTAAGCCTAAACAAGTAATGTACATTCAAGGCCCAGACTCATGTGAAGTTGACTCAATGGTTTTTAAATCTTAGGGGAGGTCTCCTGCCTTCATGAAGAATCAGATTCTTAATATTTAAAACTGGCCTAATAAAAACTGCTTCCAGGGCTGTTATAAGGATTAAACAAGATAAGAAATATAAAGTATAAAATGCACATCTGATAAATAGCAGGTGTTCAATAAAAGCAAGCTTCCTTCTTCATCCCTAACCCTCTTCAAGTCTCAATTAAAAAGCTTCCTCTTTTGCCTCCCCTAATTTTCTCATCCAGAAACAGCATTTCTCTTCATGGTAATTTTTTCATGCATCTGTTAAGATATATTTTCACGTTCTGCTAATTTCCCATGAATGAATGTCATTTAAGACACTGGGTCTTAGACTTACCAGCTGCCTTTATTTATCTCTATACATCTCATGTCCCCTTCTAAACTAAGTTCCTTGATGACCAGGGCAGTGTTGTATTTATTTTCTGCCCAGTGAGCACATAATTTACGCTCATTAAGCTCCCATAACTGAAAAAAGTCCTCCCAGGAAACAGAGAATAGTGCACCAGTAGAGGGCGCATGTGGGTCGGCGGCAGATCACCACCTGAGAGAGCACGAAGGGAGTCAGTATGACTGCTGCAGGGGAAGGGAAGGGCAGGAAAGGAAAAAGTATACATGCATATGTAAAGTATACAGCATATACATATATGTAAAGTATACAGCACATACATGCTGTATATAACTTAATACATAAGTTACAAACTCGAAAAGTATGTATTGATTTTATCATTTTCCCCACAGTCAGCGCTACATAAAACAGTAAAAGAATAAGTCACTGAAAATACATCATGTAACCATAGTATATTCAAATAAGATTTATAAATAAAAGCATTCAACTTACAGTATAACAGTATCTTCCCTTGAGGTAATACAAAAAGGGTTCTTCAGGTAAAAATTGGATTGCTTTATCTAGATGTTCCTGAAAGAAAATGTGAAAGAAATATCATCTCCCCAGTTTCAGGAGGTGTTGAATGGAACTGTGCCCAGTAAATTCAAAGGAGCTTTCCCATGTTGTTTCTTTCCCCTCTTCAATCCCTACCATTAATATAATTAAGTCTTATCAATAATTCATTTACTAAAAATGATTGCTACAACTAGAACCAGAACTGTGAATATGATTTAATAAGGCTACAGATAAAGTCAAAATATCACTATAAAAATAGGAAACATCCGAGTCACATTTTTGTCTGTCCATGACTTGCCTAGCTAATACTTATTGATTCAGAGGCAAATATCAAATAATTAGGGTATAATGGGGGAAAGAATAGCAGAACTGGGTGGGAGAGGCATCTACTCCACTGACATTACCAAAACGGTTATAGGGAGCTGGCAAACAAAGAATTCTTTGCCCATCCCTATAACTATTTGACCCTGAGAGGTTATTTATTGAGCTATTATAACTAGAAGCACATTATGAATGATGTGTAAATGCATTACTTATTTTACTCATCCATCGTGGTAGATTTAAGCCCTAGATTGGATTCTACTCCGCCCACCAAATCAACATGCAGAGCTCATGACCAAAAGGCAAATCTTCTATATATATAAATATATATCTATTTTTTTTGGTGAGGAAGATTAGCCCTGAGCTAACATCTGTGGCCAATCCTCCTTTTTACTGAGGAAGATTGGCCCTGGGCTAACATCTGTGCCCTGCTTTATATGTGGGACGCCTGCCACAGCATGGCTTGATAGCTCCGCACCTGGGATCCAAACCCGCGAACCCTGGGCTGCCGAAGCGGAATGCGCAAACTTAACCACTACGCCACCAGGCTGGCCCCAATCCTGTATCTTTGAATAAATAATACTCATCTACTACGTGACTTCTTTCAGCATCTAGAATAATAATAATCTTTAATCACACAAATAATTTGATTCTTTTTGGCACAGTACTATTTAAAGACTATCATTTCAGGGCCAGCCCCATGGCGTAGCGGTTAAGTGCGTGCACTTCGCTGCTGGTGGCCTGGGTTTGGATCCCGGGTGCACACCGACACACTGCTTGTCAGGCCATGCTGTGGCGGCATCCCACATAAAGTGGAGGAAGCTTGGCACAGATGTTAGCTCAGGGCCAGTCTTCCTCAGGAAAACGAGGAGGATTGGCATGGATGTTAGCTCAGGGCTGATCTTCCTCACCAAAATAAAAAAAAATGACTATCATTTCATTTAAATGAAAAAGATAAATTCCTAGAGATTAATTTGTTGAATAATTTGGTTTGTACCTGTTAATGGAACATATAGCTACATTAAAACATTTTTAATATCAAGAAATACCTTGAAGCGATGTCCATAGTTGATTTTGTTTTGTAAGCCCTCAAACTCAGATACGTAGCCACACAAAACCGCGTACCTGAAAAGAATAAAAACAGTGGATATCGTGTGAACTTTTAATCAAATACCACCAAATGTAATATTTAAAAAATATCTCTAAAGTACTCACTAATATTTAACAAAAGTATTCATATAGAAGCAAAGGCCCTAAAAACAATACTTGACATTAACATGAGGTCGGTTTCCTCGTCTATAACTGGGGATACTAACACCATCTATCTCATACGTGTGTTGTGAGGGTAAAATACCTAAAACATGCGATTGCTTAGAATAGTGCCTGGCACAGAGTGAGTTTCAAGAAATGTTAGCTGCCGCTATTACCATCAGGAACATCAAAGTCACAAGGAGGCTCTCAGAAAAAGTCTAATCACAAAAGTATTAAACTGAAAAATGTATTGTGTTGACAGATCCCTGTTGCTTGTTAATAAAAATAAAAATAAAAATTTATTGGCCTCCTTTAATGTCATTTGAAAATAAAAATAAATATCATGACTACAAACAAAGTCAAATGTAATTTTAGAATATGCTTTTTCAAAAAATTCCCCATGTCCTTCAATTCTTCCGTGGACACAGTGCATTACTAGAATAGTGCATCTCATGGATTATTTACTTTTTTTCTATTGGAAATACAAAATTTACATAAATAATTATTTGACTATAAATTGAGTGCAATACTTGATTAGCAAATGCTTACTCTAAAAACTGAGGGATATATTACTTTTCATGTTCAGAGTGTTTCTGTCTATGTAAAAGTCTTCAGAGTATTTCAGAGTGTTTCTGTTTGAGGCAAAATATTCATTTACCTAAATACTTCAAGACTAGGTGTTAATTTTTACTTGCATTGTCATAAGTGAAATGAAAAACGTAATTTTGGGTGTTATTTATCTTGATTGTTTCTGTGGATAAGCATAATCTTCAAGTACAGAAATGAAGTGAACAATTTTCTTAATTTGGAACAGTAAGATCATTCCTGGACACAGATCACATAATTCACACACTTTATGCACAACCAATAAAATGGCCACTTTTCAGTTATTACTTCTTTGACCTCTTAATTTTCGTTTTTTATATAATCAATGGAATCTGCTACAGTAGAAACCAGTGATGACTAAATCACCCTAATAAGAGATGTGAGAATTTAACTAGATTAGGAAATACAACTACTCACAAATTCTAAAATCAGACTGTATTTCACATATATCTCTGCACCCACCAGAGATTGAGCATTTAAGATAAGAAACAGGAAAAAGACTCTCGGCTCCCCTGTGAAAACTGCTATTGCCGTCTGCGGCCTCACACGTTCTTTTGAAATTCTCCCTGTCATTCTGTTCTCTCATTCCTCCCACAGAGTTCCAGACTGTGGAGCAAAATTCCACACAACTACATTGCCAAACACCCCATTTTTGTTATGGGCATTATCATTTTCCAACTTATTTGGACTTAAAAACTTAGGCCACTTTTTTTTTTTTTTT